GTACTTGTTACTACATTCACATATTGAACATGGTAGCAAAAGAGGATCATCAGCATAAGAATGTTTGGTTTGTAATTGTACACAGACTTATGCTTATAATATCCATTAAAGCATCAATATATATCATTTTACAAGGTGAATATTGCTAAAATTAAGGATGTACATTTTATTCTGTGAATGGGATGATTAAGCATAGTTTCTATTTTAAGCTTGCCATGACCTTGAGGTGGACAGATGGTATGAGGAAGGGACTTCCTGGAGCGGGGATGATGATCCTTGTGTACATTGTGAATGTCGGGTAGGTAAAATACTGAGTATGTGGAGTAGATAAATACTGAGTATGCGGGGTAAATAAATACTGAGCATGTTGGATAGATAAATACTGAGCATGTTGGGTAGATAAATACTGAGCATGTTGGGTAGGTAAATACTGAGCATGTCAGGTTGGTAAATACTGAGCTGGAGCATGTTGGGTAGGTAAATACTGGAGCATGTACTCTACTGTAACTTTGTATTTGGTACTTCAGATGTTTAGCAAACTTTTATTTGACAGGTTTACCTGAAGTGCTTTTGCACTTACTTAAACATACCAGGATTTTATTTATTAGAATCAAGGATGAGTTCTATCTTGATTGTTCATTGGTCCTCTCAAGAGGATGGTGTGTTCTGTTGTTTGATTGGTCATTTTTATGTATTTCAGGGAGGTGATGTGTTCTGTCATGTAATTGGCTGTCCTGCAATTGTGTGTAACCGTGAACAAAGATTTATCAAACCAAAAGGGAAGTGCTGTGCCATATGTGAGGACATACCTGCTATTCCTTGCCAATACAATAGTGCTGTGTACCAGGTAGGGAAGTGTGTTAAGATTTTAGGAAAGACAAATCTGTTTTTCAAATTTTTTATACTGTCAATTTTTTGTTGTTCATTTATTTAATGTGACATTTTATCTGTATGTGATTGTACACACACCAACGTATATTTTACTTCTCACAAAAAATTCACTGTCTTGCATCCCATGCTTACATTGATTTTACGTTAGACTTAATTGATATCTTCCATGGCAGCCTGGTGAAAGCTGGAGGGTGGATGACTGTACAGACTGTCGCTGTCTGGGAGGGGTTGTCGAATGTCTGACACAGACATGCCCTCCCCTGGACTGTGACCCCAGTGATGTTGCCACAGCAACCCCAGGGTCATGTTGCCCTGTCTGTATTACAAGTAAGAAATTACACAAAACTTTGTGTTTGGATTCAGACAAAAGAAGCATGCTGACAACTGACTTCTCAATGATGTTACTTAATACAACTATTAAAATGCCATCTTATTAGATGTTATAAAATAAAAGTAATTGCCCTTCAACAGAAAGCTTACTTGTGTTTTCTGAATAATTTGCACCATGTCAGACCTTGAATGAAATTGATTTTTATTTAAAAATTACCATCCATATTATTGAGAATTTTTTCCCTTACAATATTACTTCTTACGCTAGGTATTGACTGTCCAGATGTGAAGTATGAATTTTACAGGTTGTTGAGTCAAAATTGTTAATAAAAAATAATTCGAAACAATATTGTCATAAGGTAAAGCCTATGAATTATTGTGTCCTGAATTCATAACACTGTTATTTAACAGGGGACTTTAAGATAAATCAATTTAAAACCAATTCTCACTATACCAAACTGAAATGATAAAAATATGCATAGGAAGGTTAATTTACAAATATTCAAAATTATTTTACCCAGCACATACATGTATTTTAAAATTAATCAATTAAAACTTTGAAAAAAAAAATGCCTGACATTTTAGGGGAAACTTATTTTTCTTTTCCAGAACCTGGTACATGCCTTGTGTTTGGGGATCCCCATTATTACACCTTTGATGGCACCACCATTCACTTCCAGGGTTTCTGTAAATATACCATGGCAACAGACTGTGTCAATAATGACTTTGTGTGAGTAAACTTATAAATATTTCAGTCTTCCATTATGTCATTTATTTGGTAGGTTTTAGTCGACTTGTCTGAACTTTTGCGTCAGTGAGGGGATGTGGATTTTGTAAGCTCTTTCATCAGAAGCAGAGAATCGCTATGATGAATTTATATCAGATGTTTATTATTGATATTTGTTTATTTGCAGAGTGGATGTTCACCATGACAACAGAGGGGCACCTGGACATGTGTCCTGGGCTCAAAACTTTACTATAACACTGGGGCGAAGTGTCATTGAGCTCCTACAAAATCATATTGTAGAGGTAAGTTCTAAATGAACCATAATGAGGAAGCAGTAGGTTCCTAGTAAGAAGAGGACTGAATTTTATGTGTTCATGATGTAGGTTTTTTTTATACCCCCACTCCAAAGGAAAGGAGGGTATACTGTTTTACCCTTGTGTGCCTGTGTGTCTAGATGACTGTCAGTAACAAGTTTTTGTCGTAGTTTTCTCAGCAACTACTCTTTGCAATTGCTTAAAATTTTAGCACAGTCTGTGTATGCATGCCATTTGATGGGATTCATTTTTGTACGAATCCGATGTCAACTTCCTGTATATCCATGTGTCTGTCCGTCTGTTCCAATTTTCTGTCGCAGTTTTCTCAGCATCTACTTTCGGCAGATGCTTGAAATTTTAACACTCTTTGTTAAGGCATGCTATTTTATGGGATTCCTTTTTGTACGAATCTCATGTCAACTTCAAGTTTATCCATGCCTCTGTCCATACCAAATTTCTCAACAACTACTTATGGAAGATGCTTGAAATTTAGCACACTCTTTGTTAGACATGCCATATTGTGGGATTCATTTTTAGCTCACCTGAGCTGAGCTGAAAGCTCAAGTGAGCTTTTCTGATCACCTGTTGTCTGTCATCCGTCCGTCTGTCTGTCCGTCCATCTGTAAACTTTTCACATGTTCATCTTCTCAAGAACCACTGGGCTAATTTTAACTAAAGTTGTTACAAAGCATCCTTGTGTGAAGGGGAATATGAATTATTAAAATGAAGGACCAAGCCCTCTTCCAATGGAGATAATCAAGAAAAGACAAAACTAGGGTGGGGTCATTAAAAAATCTTATCAAGAACCACTGGGCCAGAAAAGTTGAAGCTTATATGGAAACATCCTTGGGTAGTGTAAATTTGAAATTGTTCAAATCATGGAAGAGGGAATCCAAGTTTTACTTTGAAAAATATAGGAAAAATCTTTAAAAATCTTCTTCTCAAGAACCACTGAGTCAGAAAAGCTGAAACTTATATGGAAGCATTCTGGGGTAGTGTAAATTTTAAATTGTTCAAATCATGGCCCCCAAGGGGTAGGATGGGGCCACAATAGGGAATCCATATTTAAAATTGACACAGAGAGAAAAATTTTTTAAAATCTTCTTCTCAAGAACCTCTGGGTCATAAAAACTGAAACTTTTGTAGAAGCTCCCTGGGGTAGTGTAGATTCTAAATTGTTCCAATCAATTAAGAGGTAGTGTGGGGCCATAATGAGTATTACAAAGGGGAAATCTGGTGAAGAACAGCAGGGCCAAAGTTACTCAGGTGAGCGTTGTGGCCCACTGGCCTCTTGTACGAATCTGATGTCAACTTCCAGTTTATCCATGCATCTGTCCTTACCAAACAGCTGCACCTTAAATTTGTATATTCATATGAGAGTGTATATTCACATCAGAGCGGGGATATTACTAGTGAGCATTTGGCTCACAGACTTCTTGTTTTCATCAGAAAGGGAAATGTTGTAATTCCTTATTTTTAAATTTAAACTTTCAAATACAGATATATTTAATTGGCATTTTCAGGCCATCATTTTTCCTGGGAGATTTAGAAATCGGTACTTATTTTATTTTCAGAGAAAGAATGGTATAAATTATTTCAGCATTTGTCAAGGAAAAAGAGTAGTGTGTCTTCTTGTGGGAGGGTGTTACTATGTCCCTCCAACTCTGTAGTTGTACCTATGGGGGTGATCATTTTTTATGTTTTGAATGTTTTAGGTGGACGGACGACGAGTGGAGCTGCCATTCTTTAACAAGAACTTTTCTGTGGAGCACACACAGGATACTGTCCTGTTTAACACAAAACTTGGAATCAAGGTCAGGGATGTATTAATGCTAGGATTTATAAATAATTAGTCAATAGTTTGTCAGATAGGAATGTGTAAGAGATTTGGAGTTCAACAATGTGATCTTCATGTATAGCAACATGCACAACTGTAATTAAATTGTAAACTTAAACCTTACTCTACTAAGAAAAAAATAAACTGTTCAACTTGTGTAGTACAAAGCAGATAAAACTCTTGTATTGCAAAAATGCATTTATCGCAAAAATGCATTTATCATTTCAATGAAGTTGTGTTAAGTATTGTTTTATGCTAACAGTTGGTATGGAATGGAAACAGTTATGCCGAGCTCAGTGTCCCAGGGACGTATCGTAACAAGCTGTGTGGTCTGTGCGGGAACTTCAATGGGTTCCCAATGGATGACATGAAAACTAAAGGCAGACAGATCACCAACTCTCCAAGTATATTTGGCAACAGTTGGAAGGTAGAGTACCACTGGGAGTGAATTATGTCATAATGAATTATTTGATCTGAATTGTTCTTTTCATTTTGGGTATTATTTTTTAGACTTTACAGCAAGAGAATGAATTCTGTAAGGATGGCACAGATCAAGACCCATGTGTGGAGGCAGGGTACCGCGCCAGGAAGTTTGCCACCACCCAGTGTTCTATCCTCAGGGTAAGACAACCCTTACAGAAAATATCACATTTCTTAAGGCTCAGAGTATATGCTGATACGGGAATTCCAGTATCATTGATTTTTCTATAATTAGTAGGTAATTTACCCTTTTTTATTGGTCTCTCTCAAAGTTATTTTACTGTATATGTCTTTTACATCTTTACAAATTCTGAGTGTCTTTTACAAATTTATACATGTAACAAGGTAAGGATATTAGGAAGTTATTTGAAGGTCTTAAGTGTTTTGTATGTTATAGCTCTTTTTTATAACGTACTGACAG